AAAGAATAAAAGAGACCATCCAAGCTAACACAATCAAAAACAACAAAGGTGACATTACAAATGATCCCAAAGAAAAACGAAAGATCCTCAGAAACTGTTATGTATACTTCTCTGCAAACCAACTACAAAATCTAGAGGAGACAGATAAATTCCTGGAAACATATAACCCCCCAAGATTGAATCAGGAAGAAACAGACCAATATTGAGTTCTAGAATTAAATCAGTAACAAAAAAATGTAATGACCAAAAAAAGCCCCAGAACAGACAGATTCACAGCTGAAGTCTACCAGACATAAAAAGAAGAGCTGGTACCAATTCTACTGGAACTGCTTCAAAGCACTGAGGAGGAGGGACTCCTCACAACTCTTTCTATGAAGCCAGAATCATCCTCATACCAAAACCAGGGAGAGATACAAAAAAACATGAAATCTACAGGCCACTATCCCTAATGAACATAGACACAAAAATTCTCAACAAAATACTAGCAAACCAAATCAAGCAGAACATCAGAAACTTAATTTGCAAAGATTAAGTAGGCTTTATTTCTAGGATGCAATGTTTGTCAACATATACAAATCAGTAAGTGTGATTCATCACAAAAACAGAATTAAAAAAAAGAAAAACATATGATCATCTCAATAGACATAGAAAAGCCATCAACAAGATCCAGCATTCCCTTTATGATAAAAGTCCACAAGAAAATAGGCATACTTCAAAATAATAAGAGCTCTCTATGACAAACCCTCACCCAACATCACACTGAATTAAAAAAAAAACTGGAAGCACTCGCCTTGAGAACTGGAATAAGACAAGGATGCCCACTCTTGTTGTATCTATTAAACACAATACTGGAACTTCTTGGAAGAGAAATCAGGCAAGAGAAAGGAATAAAAGACAACTGAATAGGAAAAGATGTCAAATTATCTCTCCTCACAGACGACATAATCCTATACCTAGAAAACACTAAAGACTCTGCGAAAAGCTTCCTGGAGCAGATCAACAATTACAGTAAAGTTTCAAAATACAAACTTGATGTACAAAAGCTAGTATCATTTCTATATACTAACAACTCTCAAACGGAGAGCCAAAACAAGAATGCAATATCATTTACAATAGGCACAAAAAAATGAAATACCCAGGTATACATCTAACCAAGAAGGTGAAAGATCTCTACAAGGAGAGCCACAAAACACTGATAAAAGAAATAATCAATGACACAAATGGAAGAACATTTCATGCTCATAAATGGGAAGAGTCAATATCATTAAAATGGCCATACTGCCCGACGCAATTTACAGATTCAACACTATTGCTACCAAACTACTACCAATGTCATTTTTCACAGGCTTAGAAAAAAACTATTCTAAAATTCACATGGAATCAGAAAGAGCCCAAATAGCCAAAGCAATGCTAAACAAAAAGAACAGAGTCAGAGGCATCATATTACCTGACCACAAACTATATAACAAGGCTACAGTAACCAAAACAGCATGGTACTGGTACAAAAACAGAAACACAGACCAATGTAACAGACTAAGAGAACCAAGAAATAAAGCTGCACACCTACATCTATCTGAATTTTGACAAAGTCAAGCAAAAATAAGCAGTGGAGAAAGGACTACCTATTCAATAAATGGTGCCATATGCAGAAGAACGAAACTGGAACACTGTCGTTCACCATACACACAAAGTAACTCAAAATGGATTAAAGAATTAAATTAAAGACCTCAAACTATACAAATCCTATAAGAAAACCTAGGAAACACCATTCTGGACACCTGCCTTGGGAAATAACTTATGACTAAGTTCCCAAAAACAACTGCAACAAAAATTGATAAGTGAGACTTAATTAAACCAAGGAGCTTCTGCACAGCAAAATAAACTATCAACAGGATAAACAGACAAGCTGTACAATAGAGGAAAATATTCACAAACTAGCATCTGACAAAGGTCTAATACCCAGAACCTGTAAGGAACTTAAGGAAATCAACGACTAAAAAACAAATAATCCCATCAATAAGTGGGCAAAGGACATGAACTGATACTTCTCAAAAGATAAGATATGGGCTGGGCATGGTGGCTCACGCCTGTAATCCTAGCACTTTGGGAAGCTGAGGCAGGCGGATCACATGAGGTCGGGAGTTTGAGACCACCCAAGCCAACATGAAACCCTGTCTCTACTAAAAATACAAAAATTAGCTGGGTATGGTGGTGGGTGCCTGTAATCTCAGCTACTTGGGAAACTGAGGCAGGATAATCACTTGAACCTGCGAGGTGGAGGTTGCAGTGAGCTGAGATCATGCCACTGCTCTCCAGCCCGGGCAACAAGAGTGAAACTTTATCTCAAAAAAAAAAAAGAAAGAAAGAAAGAAAAACAGACATTCAAGTGGCTGACAAACATATGAAAAAAATGCTCATAACACTAATTAACAGGCAAATTAAAATGAAAACTATAATGATACCATATCACACCAATCAGAATGGCTATTGCTAAAAAGCCAAAACAAAAACAAAAACAACCCCAAGCAGATGCTGGCAAGGCTGTGGAGAAAACAGAACGCTTATACACTGTTGGTGAGAATGGAAATTAGTTCAGCTATGGTAGAACGCAGTTCGGAGAGTTCTCAAATAACTTAATACGAACTGTCTTTCTACTCAGCAATCACATTACTAGGTTTAAATCCAAAAGAAAATAAATCAGTCCTCCCAAAAGACACACGTACTTTTATGTACATCACAGCACTGTTCACAATAGCAAAGACATGGAATCAACCTAGGTGCCCATCAACAGTGGACTGGATTAAGAAAATGTGGTATATATATATACCACGGAATACTATACAGCCATAATTTAAAAAATGATATCCTTTGCAGGAACATGGATGTAGCTGGAGGCCATTATCTTAAGTGATTAAAGCAGGAACAGAAAATTAAATATTGCATGTTCTCACTTATAAGTGGGAGCTAAATACTGGGTATTCTTGGACACAAAGATGGGAATAAGAGACACTGTGGCCTAATAGAGAGCAGAGGGAGGGAAGAGGGCAAGGATTAAAAAACTAATGGTCAGTTACTATGCTCATCACTACCTAGGTGATGAGATCATTTGCATCCTAAACCTTGGAATCATGCAACATACCCATGTGACAAACCTGCACATGTACCCCCTGAGTATGAATTAAATTATTTTTAAAAATGAAAGTAAAATAAGATTGCCTATGAATATAAGAAAATGTGCTCAATTTCACTTCGTATTCAAAAAGTAAAAATTATAACAACAATGATTTAACATTTTTACCTCTGAGATGGGCAAAGGTTTTGGGAAACAGATATTCACATATATTCTTTGTGACACTATAAATTGATGCAAACTCATTCAGAACGTAATTTCATACTATTTTTAAAATTTTTAAATTTACACAGCGTTTTATCCAGGAATTTTACTTGTAGTATTTATCTTACAGATAGTTGAACATTTGTGAAAAACAGCATATACAGAGTCATGTTTACCACAGCATTTCTTAAATTAGCAAAAGACTAGAACTAATCTAAATAGTCATTAATATGGGATTAATTAAGATAGGTCCATACACAAAATTCTACGCACTATGTAAAAAGAACACAGTAGATAAACACAAGCACCTATAGAATAATCTTCAGGCACAACTGGTGAAAATAGCAAGAAATAAAAAATAAAAAATGATAAATGCACATATGTGTTGAGAGGCATAGACTATTTCTAGGATAAAATGTGAAAAATTAGAAGTAATGATTTTACTTGGGCAAAATGCTGTATTTCTGAGATTGAAGGGAGATTTACATTTGTTATACTACCTTATTTTACTATATGAATAATTTGCTATAAGCATGAACACTTTGCTATAAGCAATTTTTTAACTTTAAAAAGTGATTATAGTAAATGATAATTACTTGAGTCACTGAAGAATTCTTTAAATGTGAGGTCTATTATACCAAATGAGAAAAAAAAAAGGTAGGCCTAACAGTAGTAACTTTTTAAGTTGTCAGAATTCTTCAGAATAGTCTAATCACCCCAGATTTGTATGTGTATATGAACTTCAATTTACAAAGAACAACAAATACAACACAACAACCTCCAGTGTACATAATCTAAAAAAAATTTTCATACCTCTATTCTCCAAAATGTATATTCTTATATTCTAAGGCATAATGTGACAAATCATACAAATGAATGGTAAAGGTGCACGGGCATGAGAGTATGGATTATTTCCATTTTTCAATTGCAAGGACTCATTCAGACAAAAAATACTATCCTTAACTGAACTATCACTTCTGCAATGATTAGTAAAATAATCATGTTAAAAAAATACCAAAAATTAATGAACCATAATGATTATGAGATTGAGAAGCTACCTGTATGTATCAAAATCATGTGTGAAATTCACAAGTGAATAAATGATCTAATAACAAACAAAAGTACTCTATTATCAAATCAGTAAATAATACTTAGAAGTTACCAGATTTTGATATTAATCCAAAATATCGAATTAAAGCAAAACCTATAACATTTCCCAAGAATCCAAATTGATAATAATACAAGCATGACAGGAAAGACTATTAAGACTATCGGACCAATCTTATTTCAATTTCTTGAAAAATTCTGAGACTTTAGCGTTCTCTTACATTATTTACTCTTACATGATGAATTAACAGATTTATCTCCCCTACTTCTCAGTAAAAATGACAATTTTATAATGGAGCAGTGGAACACACATATTTAACAATAATAAACTCTGTATTCTCAGAAGAATAATAACATTTATGTGTAATAAAATTCAAAGGTAAAATAAATTTCCTTCTTTAGTTATTAGGTAAAATATGGTTAAATGTCCACCTATTTATGTTTCCCCCTGTCTAGTGAGGGAAAAGTATACATATACACATTACTAGAAATTTTTAGCAAAGCACTGAATTAAATTATACCTGAATCAGAGACTTATATTTTATTTTTAAAAATGTACCTTTTATCTGAGTAGCAAAATTCAGTGCCAATTTTGCAAAGAGATCTGGATTCTCAAACTTGTCTTCTTTAACTTTTAACCAGAAACAGTTCTCAGATAATTCTGTGGGCTCAACCTGAAACAAAAATAAGAAAAGATTCTAAATTATAACTTCATATTTAAATTGTCAAGAAACTAACTTTCAGCAAGGTTGAACCATAGTTCCTTTATTTATCTATCCTCAAAATCAATTTCAGGATGTACCTAAATAATACTTATAAAGTGAATATTCATTGGGAAACTCAGAACTGTGTGAAGAAATGGTACACAATAGCAATAGGCCTCATAGTAAATTGCATCTTAAATATTATTCTACTTAGGAGGCTTAAAAATAATTTAGGAAATCCTAACCTCAACTCACATAAAATCATCTTGTTCCTGCGTTTTTTAAAACAGGGAAACTGAGAAAAGTGAATTCTCCTTGTTCACTCACTAGGTTTAAGGTAGCATAAGGATAGCTGACACACATCTCCTACTTTGTGCCAGGTACTGTTTTAAGTGATTTGCATATATTAACTAATTTAATCCTCATAATAATTTTTTGACCTGTTATTATCTCCACTTTAAAAAATGAGGAAACAGAGCCCAACAAAGTTTAAGTGGCTACCCAAATTAGTAAATGGCAGAGCTGGGATTTAAATCTAGATGTGTGCTCCAGAGGACTGTGGTCTTAACTACTACCCAAGATTAGAACTTCATCTTCCATTATCCTGTGAAGTTCTGTGATGTGTAACTACCATTACACTGTATACCATACTGTTAAACTAGGAAGCATATAATTACATTAACAGAGGCAGACAACTAAGCAACAGCTTTGTAATCCAGTATTTTGATGAATTGTACCTAATTTTTTAAAAAGAAAACCTACATTCTAAAACCATTTAATACAAGTTTACTCTTATGAGCTAATCATAAATATATGCATAAGATCGAAAAATGATTTAATCATTCTTGTTAAACCAACTTACTACCTATATGCTGTCTAATACTGTAAATATGCTCTTGGATGAGACATTTCCCCAAATGGTTGTCTGGGTAAATATGGATTTTCATTAAAATATTAGTTCCCACTCAATGAGGACTGTGTCAATCTACATAATAACCTTTTAAAAGAAACATATTATTTGATAATAATAAAGGCAAACAACATTCAGAAGAAAGCAATTTCAAACATCCTATCAAAAAACAATTAAGGTATGTCAACACTAAATATCGTCACTGATTCCATACTATTTGGAAGTGTAAAACTAAAAGAAGTTATTCATTAAGAAAAAAAATAAGATAAAAAGGCTCAATAATACAAAGGATTTTAAGAAAAATGGGGAAGAGGCTTCAAGATGGCTGACTGGAGGCACGTGGCACTCACATCCTCCATAAAAAGCCAAAAAAAAAAAAAAAAGAGTAGATAATCACAGCATGTAAGAACACTGGAATTTGGCAGGGAAGTTACAGAAAACACATGAGGCATGGAAGGAGAGTGAATTCAGGCAGCAAGCCTGGCTGTGATCAGTTTAGAGCCCAGAGAAGCTCCCCAATGTGGGAAAAGGGTAAATAACATATCCCCAGTGGTCCAGATTCTGGAACACTGTGAACTCTGAGGATTCTAGCCATAAGAGACCCACTCAGCCTCCACAGGCCCTGAAACTAGTCTTTAGTATACAAAGTTACCTGCAGTCTTGCAACGGCATTGCTCTAGAAAGGGCATTCACACTGGATCCCACACATGCCACCAAGACCGAAGCAGCTGCAGTATGGCAACAGACTGAGAGCTCAAACTCCACCAGACTACATCCTGCCTTGGGGCTGAATGATTCTCTATTTCCACATCCTTGGAGAAAACTGAAATCTCCCCAAATCCACCCAAATGACTGAAGTGGTGTGACACTGGCTGGGACCAGCAATGAGACCTGGTCCCAGCACTCTAGCCCACATGGTGTCCTACATCCCAGGAACATGTGGAGCAGCATACTGGAGAGGCCACAGGACAAGAGAGAATGGGACAGTATATTTAAAGTGCCAAAGGAAAAAAAAAAAAACAACAAATTGGAAGCCAATTATATATACCCAGCAAATCTATCCCTCAAAAATGAAGGAGAAATAATGTCTTTCCTAAACGCACAAAAACTGAGGGAATTCATGACCACTAGACAAGCCCTACAAGAAATGCTTAAGGAAGTCCTACATATCTAAAAGAGAATATATCATCATGAAAGCACATGAAAGTATAAAACTCACATGTAAAGCAGATACACAAATGAGAAAGAGAAAGGACTCAAATGTTAACAGTATAGAAAACTACCAAACCACATGGATAAACAATAACAAAGAAGGAAAAAACAAAGGATACACAAAACAAACAGAAAACAATGAAGAAAATGACAGGAGTAAGTCCTCACCTATCAATAATAAACTTGAATGTAAATTAAATTGCCCACTTGGAAGATATAGACTGGTTGAATGTATTAAAAAGCATGACCCAACTATATGCTTCCAGCAAGAAACATATTTCACCTGCAAGACACACATAGACTGAAAATAATAAAATAGAAGATATTAAATTGCAAATGGTAACCAAAAGTGAGGAGTAAATATACATATATCAGATCAAAGATGTTAAATCAAAAACGGTAAAAGAGACAAAGTAGGTCATTATACAATGATAAAGGCATCAATTTAACAAGAAGAAGTAACATGTCAAAATATATATGTACCCAACACTGGAGCACCCAGATAAACAAATAAATATTATAAGATTTAAAAAGAAAGATAGACTGTAATGTAGTAATAGTTGGGGACTTCAACATCCTACTCCCAGCATTAGACAGATCATCTAGGCAGAAAATCAACAAATAAACATTAGATTTAAACTGCACTTTAGAACAAACAGGCCTAAAAGACAGTTGTGGAACATTTTGTCCAACAACTGCAGAATAAACATTCCTCCCATCAACGTTAAAATAATTCTCAAGGATAGATCATGTATTACTATAAAAAGCAAATCTCAATAAATTTTTAAAAATCTAAATCATATCAAGTATCTTCTCAGACTACAATGGAATAAAATTAGACATCAATAACAAGAGGGATTTCAGAAACTATACAAATACGTCGACTTAAAGAACATGCTCCTCAATGAACATTGGGTCAATTAAGAAATTAAGAAAAAAATTTAAAAATGTATTAACATAAATGAAAATGAAAAAGCAATATACCAAAACCTGTGCGATATAGCAAAAGCAATGCTAAGAGGGATGTTTATAGCAGTAAATACCTACTTTGAAAAAGTGGAAAGATATAAAATGAACAGTTTAATTCTGCACCTAAAGGAACAAAAAAAGCAAGAACCAACCAAATCCCAAATCAGTAGAAGGAAAAAAATAATAAACATCGGAGCAGAACTAAACCATAGAGAGATTACAAATATAACACAAAAGAACAACAAAACAAAAAGTTGGATTTTTTTTTAAAGATAAAATTGATAAACCACTAGCTAGACTAACCAAGAAAAAAAGACACCTAAACAAACAAAATCAGAAATGGAAGAGGAGATATTACAACCAATACCACAGAAATACAAAAACTATCAAGAGACTATTATGGATAATCATATATTAATGAGCTGAAAAGCCAGAGGAAATGGAAAAATTACTGGATACATACAATCTACTAAGAAAGTTCCCCCAATAAAAAAGCCCCAGGACTAATGACTTTACCGATAAATTCTACCACACTTGTAAAAAGAAGTAACACCAATTCTTGTCAAACTATTCCAAAAAACTAAAGAGCAGGAAATTCTTCCTAACTCATCCTACAAGGCCAGCATTACCCCAATACCAAAACCAAATAAGGGCACAACACCTTAAAAATATCCCTGATAAACACAGGCATGAACTCCCTCAACAAAATACTAGGAAACTGAATCCAACAGCACATCCAAAAGATAATACACCATAATCAATGGGATATAGCCCAGGAATGCCAGGATGGTTTAACATATGCCAATCAATAAACATGATACATCACATCAAAAGAATGAAAGATGAAAACTATATAATTATCTCAACAGATGCAGAAAAAGCATTTGATAAAATGTAACATCCCTTCACAATAAAAACTCTCAATTAAGCAGAGAGGGAGCATACCTCCATGTAATAAATGCTATATATGACAAACCCATTGCTAACATCATAGTGAATGGACAAAACATAAAAGCCTTTCCTCTAAGAATGTGAACAAGACTAGGATGCTCACTTTCACCATTCCTGTTCAACATAGTACTGGAAGTCCTAGCCAGAGCCATCAGTCAAGCAAAGAAATAAAGGACATTCAAATTGTAGAAGAGAACATCAAATTGTCCCTCTTTGCAGACAGCATGATCTGACATTTGGAGATGCCTAAACACCCCACAAAAATCTCTTAGAATTAATAAATTCAGTAAGTTGGAGTATACAAAATCAACACAGAAAATGTATTAATGTGTCTATACCTGAACAACAAACCTGCTGAAAAAGAAATTAAAAAGGCAGTCCCATTTACAATAGCCACAAAAAAATAAAAAACGTAAGAATTATTTTAACCAAAGAAGTAAAAGAACTTTATAAGAAACATTACGAAACACTGATGAAAGCAATTAAAGAGGACACAAACAAATAAAAAGAAACACAGTGCTTATAGAATAAAAGAATTTATATTGTTAAAACGACCATACAGCCCAAAGCAATCTACAGATCCAAGGCAATCCCTATAAAAATACCATTAACATTTTTTTCACAAAAATAGGAAAAATAACCCTAAAATTCATATGGAGCCACACAAGAGCCTGACTAGCCAAAGCAATCCCGAGCAAAAAGATCAAAGCAGGAAATTTACTTCAAAATATAAAAGACTTATAGTAGTCAAAACAGCATGGTACTAATGTAAAAACAGATATATTCACCAATGGAATAGAATAGAAAACTCAGAATTAAATTCATATAATTACAGCTAACAGATTTGGCACAAATGTGCCCAGAATATGCAATGGGGAAAGGACACCCTCTTTAATAACTGATGATAGGAAAACTGGATATCCATTTGCAAAAGAATTAAACCTGACCCATATATCTCACAATATACAAAAATGGACTTAAAATGAATTACAGACTTAAGCATAAGACCTAAGACTATAAAACTACTAGAAGAACATGTACGGGAAATGCTCCAGGACACTGGTCCAGGCAAAGATTTTATGGTAAGACCCGAAAAGCAAAGGAAACAAAAAACAAAAATGGGTAAGTGAGGTTATATTAAACTTAAAAGCTTCTGCATAGAAAAGGGAACAATGAACAGAGTAAAGAGACAATCTGTTGAATGGGAGAAAATATCTGCAAAGTATTTATCCAACAATGGACTATTGTTGGATAGTCCATTCTATTCCATTGGTGTATATATCCAGAAAATGCAAGAAATCCAAACAACAGCAACAAAACAAATAATCACATTAAGGAGTAGACAAAGAATTTGAGTAGACATTTCTCAAAAGAAGACATAAAAACGGCCAAACATATGAAAATGTGCTCAACATCACTAATCACCAGAGAAATACAAATCAAGATCGCACTGAGATATCTTATTAACATCTTATGCCAATTAGAATAGCTATTGTCAAAAATAATAATAATAAATGCTGACAACGATGTGGAGAAAAGGGAATTTTCATATACTACTGATAGGAATGTAAATAGTACAGCCATTATGGAAAACCTAAATAACAGAATTACCACACGATAATGCTGTAATCCCACCACTGGGTATTTATACAAAGGAAAGAAAATCAGAATATCAAAGAGATACCTGCACCCTCATGTTTATTGCAGCACTAGGCACAATAATGAAGGTATGAAATCAAGCTAAGCGTCCATCAACAAATGAATGGATAAAGAAAACATAGTATTGAAACATAATGGAATACTATTCTACCATAATAAAAGCATGAAATCCTGTCACTTCCAGAAATATGTATGGAATTGGAAATCATTATATTAAGTAAAAAAAGCTGGACACAGAAAAGCAAATATATATTCTTACTCATATGTAGGAGCTTTAAACATAGATATCATGAAGGTAGAGAAGAGAATATTAGTTACCAGAGACTGGGAAAGGTGTGTGTGGGAGGTGGGAGGGTGAAGAGAGATAGGTTAATACGTACAAACGTATAGTCAGATAGAAGGAATAAGTTCTAGTGTTTGATAGTACAGTAAAGTGATCATAGTTAACAAAATATATTTCAAATTAACTAGAAGAGAAGATCTGAAATGTTCTCAACACAAACAGATGACAAATATTAAAGGCGATGGATATCCTAAATACCCTGACTTGATCAATACACATTCTATGCATGTAGCAAAAATCATATGTACCCCATAAATATGTACAAATATTACATATCAATTAAAAAATGTTTAAAGAAAAGCTATGTTAAAAGAATCAAAATTGCTTTTCATTTGTTGTATATTTCAAATATTATTCTCTACATCACTTTGATTTTCCTTTTGTCTACTTAACAATGTCAAACTATCCAGAGAGTTTCCAATTATCTAGATCCTACATTGACAGACATAAAATGATGAACTCAGAAAGGAAGGAAAAGAGTCAGCAGTCATACTCTCAAACATTATACAATATAGCAATGATCACCAACAGCTAGACAAAATCAAAATACGCTAGTTTTAGTATTACCTTTGACCAATTAATTCTCTTCATGGACACTTCAGGTTTATAGATTTTTTTCTGCTTCATTCCGTAAGGTAGATCAACTGATAATCCTGGGGGACGAGGAACTCCTCCAAGGGGTGGTGGTGGAGGAGGTCCCCCAAATAAAAGTGGTGGTGGTGGTGGTATCCCTGCCATTCCAGGTAAAGGAGGTGGTGGTGGAGGAGGAGGAGGAGGAGGAGCTCCTCCAGGTAGAGGTGGGGGTGGTGGTGGTGGAGGTGGCCCAGCACCTGGCAATGGAGGTGGTGGAGGAGGACCTGGAATTCCTGATGAACTTGAGGGTACTTGTGCCTGAAATATAAATAATCCAAGTTTAAATGCTTATAAAATATAGCTGAAAAAATTTGAGGAAATATATGTCAATAGATATTTGTAGTTTAAGATTATATCTACCTTATTTATGAAGATTATATACACTTTTTAAGACATTACTAAAATATCTAAATATTTAGAAAAATCTAAGGGTTTAACAGTATATGAAAAAGACTTGTGTAAATTTTTTAATAAGCATTATAAATTCTGGACAGTGACTACTTCTGTTAACACACAAATGCTAGGAAAGTTGGTATCTGATATGGTTTGGCACTGTGTCCTCACCGAAATCGTGATCACAAGTGAGCTCTCACGATACCTGAGGATTTTATAAAGAAATTTTGTTTGGCACTTCTTGCTACCGCGATGTGAATAGGGATGTGTTTGCTTCCCCTTTGGCCATGACTGTAAGTTTCCTGAGGCCTCCCAGGCCCTGCGGAACTGGGTCAATTTAACCTCTTTCCGCTATAAATTACCCAGTCTCCGCAGTGGTTCACGCCTGTAATCCTAGCACTTCCAGAGGCAGAGGCGGGCAGATTACCTGAGGTCAGGAGTTCAAGATCAGCCTGGCCAACATGGCGACACCTCGTCTCTACTAAAAATACAAAAATTAGCTGGGCGTAGTGATGCATGCCTGTAATCCCAACTACTTGGGAGGCTGAGGCAGGAGAATTGCTTGAACCCAGGAGGCAGAAGTTGCAGTGAGCTGCGATCACATCACTGTACTTCAGTCTTGGTGACAGAGTGAGACTCCATCTCAAAAAAATAAAATAAAATAAATTAACCAGTCTCAGGTATTTCTTCATAGCAGTGTGAGAACAGACTAATACAGTAAATTGGGAGTGGATAGTGGGGTGCTTCTATAAAGATACCTGAAAATGTGGAAGCGAATTTGGAACTGGGTAACAGGCAGAGGCTGGAACAGTTTGGGGGGCTCAGAAGAAGATAGGAAAATGTGGGAAGCTTTGGAACTTCCCAGAGACTTGTTGAATGGCTTTGACTAAAATGCTGATAGTGATATGGACAGTAAAGTACAGGCTGAGGTGGTCTCAGATGGAGATGTGAAACTTCTTGGGAAAGGGAGTAAAGATCACTCTTGCAATACAGAGAGACTATTGGCATTTTGTCCCTGACATAAAGATCTGTGGAACTTTGAACTTGGAAGAGATGATTTAGGGTATCTGGCAGAAGAAATTTCTAAGCAGCAAAGTGTTCAAGAGGAAGCAGAGCATAAAAGTTTAAAAAACTTGCAGACTGACAATGCAGTAGAAAAGAAAAATCCATTTTCTGGGGATAAATTCAAGCCCTCTGCAGAAATTTGCGCAAGTAATGAGGTGCCAAATGCTAACCACCAAGACAATGAGGAAAATGTCTCCAGGGCATGAGACTTTCATGGCAGCCCCTCCCATCACAGGCCTGGAGGCCTAGAAGAGAAAAATGGTTTCCTGTGTCAGGTCCAGGGCCCCTCTGCTGTGTGCAGCCTCTTTGATGCCCTGCATCCCTGCCCCTCCAGTCAAGGCTGAAAGGGGACATGGTATAGCTCGGGCCATGGCTTCAGAGGGTGCAAGCCCCAAGCCTTGGCAACTTCCATGTGGTGTTGAGCCTGCAGGTAGACAAAAGTGAAGAACTGAGGTTTGGGAACCTCTAACCTAGATTTTACAGGATGTATGAAAACACCTAGATGTCCAGGCAGAAGTTTGCTGCAGGGGCAGAGCATTTATGGAGACTCTCTGGTAGGGCAGTACAGAAGCGAAATATGGGGTTGGAGCCCCCACACATAGTGGCCACTGGGGCATTGCCTAGTGGAGCTGTGAGAAGAGGGCTACCATCCTCCAGACCCCAGAATGGCAGATCTACTGACAGCTTGTACCATGTGCCTGGAAGAGTCATAGACACTCAACACCACGTTGTGAAAACAACCAGGAGAGGGGCTTCACCCTGCCAAGATACAGGGCAAAGCTGCCCAAGGTCATGGGAACCCACCTCTTGCATCAGCATGTCCTGGACATGAGACATTGAGTCAAGGGAGATCATTTTGGAACTCTGAGGTTTAATGATTGTCTTATTGGATTTCAGACCTGCAGGGGGCCTCTAGCCCCTTTGTTTTGGCCAATTTTTCCTATTTGAAATGGGTATATTTACCCAATACTTGTGTCCCTTTTGCATCTAGGAAGTGATTAGTTTTTCATTTTACAGGCTCCTAGGCAGGAGGATCATGTCTTGTCTAAGAAGAGACTTTGGACTTGGAATGCTGGGTTAATGCGGCAATGAGTGAAGACTTTGGGGGACTGCCTGAAGGGCATGATTGTGTTTTGAAATCTGAGACATGAGATTTGGAAGGTGCCAGGTATGGAATTATATGATTTAGCTCTGCATCCCCACCCAAATCTCACCTTGAATTTTAATAATCCCCAGGTGTCAAGGGTAGGACTAGGGAAAGAAAATTGAATAATAATTGATAATTCAATAATGGGAGTCATTTCCCTCATGCTGTTCTCATGATAGTGAATGAGTTCTCACAAGATCCGATGGTTTTTAAGCAGCTTTCGCCCTTTTGCTCGGCACTTCTTGCTGCTGCCATGTGAAGAAGGACGTGTTTGATTCCCCTTCCACCATCATTTTAAGTTTCCTGAGGCCTCCCAAGCTCTGCAGAACTGTGAGTCAATTAAACCTCTTTTCTTCAGAAATTACCCAGTCTTGGGTATTTCTTCATAGCTGTGTGAGAATGGACTAATACAGTATCCTCGAAATTTTGTGAAATACTCCTCTGAAATAATGAAAGATTAACTTTGTTTATAAATATATGCAAAAAAGAAGAACAGTATATGGCTTGGGCTGGTAAGATTAGTTGGTTTGAATATGGGATAATTAATACAAGGTTATGGATTCAATTCCTTTGGGGGCTAATTAGCTTTATACAAAGAGTTTGCTTCATGGCACTAGTAACTTAGCTGGCTTCTAACACCAATAATAAATACTAAATAGCATCCATTTCCATAGTAATATATGCTTATCAACATTTTTATATTTATTATTTCTTTTTGATCCTTATTATAACCCTGTAATACAGATAGGGTATTATTATCTTACCTTTATTTCACTGCTTAAAGATGAGGAAATTACTAACTGCAAAAAAGTTAAATGATTTACCAAAGATTTCAGAGTCCGAAACATGATTAGGATTTCAATGTGGTTCTTTTCACATCCAATGCCATCCTTATTCCAATATAAAAGACTGCCTCTTCATCAATAGGTGCCATTTACAATGAGGACAATTAACTCAGATAGGATTATGAGGAGAATATAACATTTCTATCAGAAAGTAACTTCAAGCTCATTATCTAATGACAACGGGTAACAGATGAAGGGATACACTGCATGCCATAGAGTGTTCTTTTTCGAGATGATTAATCTGTATCCATTTCCTTAAACCATTAATGATCACAATGGTTTACTTTGCTAAATAAATATATATATATATAAATTAGGGCTGTTCATTATAAACATTCTTATGAAACCACTACCAATGAACATGTATCTGTTTTAATCAATATATGACATTAGATTAACTGAATGAAAGGTTTAAAACTCATTAAGGCAGCCAAGGAAGCCATGAGTTTTTTGCAACAGGCCTCAGTCACTGCAGTAGCAGCTGTCTGGCCAGTGCCTTGGCATTCAACTGGGATTCAGGGGCTTCCTCAACTGTGGCTTTGTGAGGGCTGTCATTCCTGTTTAACACAGTGGAGACCATGGGAAAAGCCTATTTATCATGAAACCTTCTAGATTTCACAATGGGTGTTTTTTGAATTTATTGACATTCCTCATTTTGTTTACAAGGATTCCAGTGGCAATTGGTGAAACTCTGGTGAATGTATTCATTGGTGAAACTGAACTAGTAGAAATTCCAGAAGGCTATATCCCAGAACAATGGGAATATTATGAGCATCCTATATTGAGGTGGGTTATCCATACTTTCTATGATGATCATGAAAAGAATTACTAAAGAATAATAGCTATCTTTCAGACTGAAACTGAAAAGGCTGAATTGCAGATAAAGGAGCTCGAAGTATGAAGATTAATGCAGAAGGGATGGACCCTGGTATCAATATCTGACCATTGATTGGGCACTTATGGATCATCCTCCAAAGGCAACTTCCAGCAATTAAGGATTTATTTATCTAAATACAAAGTGCATTTTCTTTAGTGGAAAATAAATTAGTAAATATATTCTGTATTTTTGTTCTCTGTGATGAATAAAAGAGGTTCTTACATTACTCTATCTCTCAGTGTTGGTTCATATTAAGGCTTTTGATTTGGGGGTTTTGTTTTACACTTTTAAGAAAGTTTAAAATGTACTAATGAAAAACTGGAGAAATAGGAATTTGTGAATTCCTAAAGTTAACTTTGAGAGGTGTTTTATTTGCCTGACAAATGGAAGTTACAGAAGTCTAATTATATTATGTATCAGTAATTGTAGTAGTTTGTACAAATGTCTGTATTATAAACATCTGTATTATTGAGGGGAAACTCAAGATTTTAAGTTCTATAAGACATTGAACTAACTTTGTAAAACATTAACAACTTAATAAACAAATTTTCAGTGAACAAAAAAAAAAAGCTAATTACATTTCTTGGGATAGGTTCATTTTTGACCTCTTTCATTCATTCATTTAGAGACGGTCTTGCTCTGTTGCCCAGACTCATAGTGCATTGCAGCCTTGAACTCCTGGGCTCAAGTGATACTCTCACCTCAGGCTCCTGACCAACTGGGACTACAGGCATGGACAATTACACCAGGCTACTTTTTTTGGTTTTTTTTTTTTGCTTGTAAAGATGGGGTCTCACTATGTGGCCCAGGTCAGTCTCAATTCCTGGGCTCAAGAGATCTTCCCACCTTGGTCTCTCAAAGTACTGGTATTAAAGGCAAGAGCCACTGTGCCTAGCCTGCTCACCTTTACTGATACAAATTTTCTACTTGGATTATTTAGTTGTTCTAACTAAACTTAGAAATATATCTTTAGAAAATAAGTTGAAGCAAATTTTTGGAACAATCAATTGGAAGGACTGACCTATTTATAAAAATATTAAAGTTAACACTCACAGGTAGACATGGTCATGGGAAGGTTTCCTGTAATATTCACTGCAAACTAACTAGTTTATTCACATAGATGAATGTTTATGTATGTATATATACACACATACAACTAAAGTGTTTCTATACTTAACAAATGACCATCCTTTCCTGGAATGCAATTCTCCCTGAGGTTAGAAAGAAATATAAGATTAAAATACGTAAAATTATTTTAATTTTACTTTTAAACTAGCAAAACTATAGAAAAGTCTGATTTTATAGTCTTAATTGAGATAAAAGAAATTGTGGCAAAATTAAAGGTTCAGAAAATTAGTAATTTATCCTACAAATTTTGTGTATGAAAGGATATTCTTCATACTTTAAAAGGTGAAATGTGTGTCCCGTTTTTTAATTAATAGACAACATAATTCAAAGTAATATACATTTGTAAACATCAATGTTTACCTCTATTAGATCATATTTATTTTGTGAATTTTATACAACCAAAAAATGCTATTATTTAAATAAAATTTTACTAAAGTTAAATATAAAATTTTACAAATTTAATAAAGAATCTCAAATATTTATATTAAATGCCACCAGTCTTTAAAAATCAAATCATATCAGCCTTTCTTTTCCCTCCCATGAACAATTAGGAATTTAATAATTAAATTAGGCTACCACATCGTATTGTAAATTGAATATGGTAAATGAATAATTTAGTATTTGACATTATTTTGGGCACACTAGAGAGTATACAGCCCTGTGCGGTGGCTTGCACGTCTAATCCCAGCTCCTCCTCGGAAGGCTAAGATAGGAGGAATGCTTGAGGACAGGAGTTGAGAATACTTCATGATTGTGTAGTTTTTACAGTTAATTTAACCAAAAGTAAGCAACTACTAACTATGTGGTAAAGGCCTGTGCTAGGTATAGTAGGGCCTTGAATAAGAAATACACTGTCCTCAAGGTGTTTATGTTCTAGCAGAAGAAATAGAGCAGGTACACTAATATCACATGAGTGGTCTACAGAAGTAATATGAAAGTTCAGAGAAATTTGCTAATGGAGTTTTTGGTGAAGCTTTCCAAGGGATGTCTTAATGAACTTGGCCTTAAAGGATATGTTTCACATACACAGGTGAGCAAAGGAGGGAATTTCTGACAGAGAATAATATACGCCAACATTTCTCAACTAAGCTCTATGAAAACACTATTTCCAAGAGATGTTGAAGGATGTTGTGAGATAAAGGGTGCTGTGGTCAAATGAGTCTGAGAAATCTATGTAAAAAAGAGGTAGACAGGTTTCTTCAATGTAAAATATCTGGGACCTTTAATCTGCTAATGAATACTATGAATCTCCAAGATGAGAATTTCATGTGTGCTCAATTTATTGGACTATGGAATGCTTTCCTCATGAACAACCTATTGGCACTTCTGTAACTAATATCTGGGAAATGCTAGCAGAAGGGTAAATATGGAGATAGTAATTTCCAAATGTGAAGGGAGGAAAGGTGACTTAGCTGCAACAGAGGCTGTAGTTAGGGGAGCAGTCAGAGCCTAGGCTGCAAAGGGGAGATAAGGGAGGAAAGACCCATGCCAGAGGGTCTTAAAATTCCTGGTAAGGAGATTTTATTTAATCCTGATTGCAACAGGCAACAAGTGAACATATTAAAGCCTGGAGTAACAATAATCAGGGAAGTGTTTCAGAAAGATTAATTTGCCACTGACATAAAGGATGAATTTGAGGAAGGAGAAAAGCTAGGCAACAATTTTAATAGTCCAGGAAGGATGTCATAAGGGAGTAAACCTGAAGGTTTCTGGGTTTAGATCCAAAGAGGTGTAGTATAAGTGGACACGAAGAAAGAACAGACATAAAATAGTGACAAGCTTAATTTGTCAGTGGGTGGGGCAGAAAAAACGGGAAGAAAACTCCAGCTTCACCATCTTTATATTGGGTGGTAAAATTTAAATAGGAAATGGACAACAAACTGGTTTAAGGAAAGAGAGAAAATCACAAAACTGGGTTTGATTTCAACATGCAACAGGATCATCCTATGGGGCTAGCTAATCAAGAGCTGGAATTAGAAGACAAACTCAAAAGAATTGACACCTACCAAAAGGGGATATGTGAATGTATGATACTGAATGGAAAATTACAGGAAGAATATACAGAGAAAAGAGCAGAGGACAGAACATTGCAGAATGTCACCATTTGAGGATGAAAAAATAAGGAGAAACTACATTCTCAAACGTAGAAAAAGAAGTCTGAGAAAAAGAGAGGAGGGAAGAGAGATGGAGAAAGAGATTGATTTATTAAAAAGAAATGATGAAATATTAGAGATAAGTAGTACAGGCAAAGGGTAGGAAAAGTCCCCTGGATTGGGTATTTTGGAGTTTGTTGGTGACTTTTGAAGTAAACTTTCATTAGACTAGTGGAAACAGATCTGGTCAATCAACAAACACCGACTGAGCACCCACTATGTTAGGACATCATATTCAATTTCTTAATTTTCATTTAAGATATAAAGTATATTGAGGAGAATACATAATCAGTTTGAAAGTTTAGATATCCTGACTGAAATTTTAAGTGTATATGGGAGCTTTTCACCACAGGGAATGTAGGTGGAAATTTATTTGAGATTCAAAGAGATCTCAAGATGCTTTTGGGATAATTATAATCAATGAGCATTTCCACATTCTTTTTGAAAGAAAACAGTCTGTACCCAATTTTTCAAATCATCATGAAAATTTCATCTCAAAAACACTTTTGCCTGTGTAATATATTCTGTTAAAAATATTCAGGGCCATTTGAGCAACTAATGCTTTATTTTTTTTCCAAGCATTAAAATGATTTATTGTCCTGGAATATAAAATCTGTAGAGTTATTTCAACGAAAATGTAAAACTGCCAAAACGTCTGCTTCTGGTCACATTTTTCCTTCTATCTAACAAGATAATTTTCTACCATCGAACTCATTGTGACATGACACAAAGTCTATATCTTCTTTTCATTACCTGAGTTCGAAGTTGCTGGATTTCTGCTTCAAGTTCTTTGATTTTCTCATCTCTTTTTTGAAGCTCAGCTTGAGCTTCCTGTCGAGCTGTGAATTCTTCATCGAACTGCAATGATCATCATCATCAATGTACAGTTAATAATATAGTTTTGAGAAAGCTTTAAAGAACATTATGTTTTAAATAAGTGGAGTGGTTTTTACTTAGTTGAATTCCCAGATCACTCAGAAAGTCACAGCTCATGATTATTTTCATAACAATTAATTATCCAAGTAGAGGTGGGGTATTGCTTGCGGTGGTAATGGTAGTAAAGAAGAAATACGCCCCTACCCAAGGTAAGAAAACACATTTTCACTTCTGAAAAAAAAATATAAAGACAAAAAGGTAGACTGAAAAATCTCTCTTCACACATATTGGACAATTTTATTGTTTTGTTATTGAAAATTCAATTTTAGAATTAATAATTTTAAAAACATTTCATCCATACCTTTTTTTTTTTTTTTTTTTGAGACATAGTGTCGCTCTTGTGCCCAGGCTGGAGTGCAGTGGCATGATCTTGGCTCACTGCAGCTTCCGCCTCCTGGGTTCAAGCAATTCTCCTGCCTCAGCCCCTGCAAGTAGCTGGGATTACAGGCATGCACCACCACGACTGGCTAATGTTTATGTTTTTAGTAGAGATGCAGTTTCCCTATGTTGGCCAGGCTGGTCTTGAACTCCTGACCTCAGGTGATCCACCTGCCTCGGCCTCCCAAAGTGCTGAGATTACAGGTGTGAGCCACCACACATGGCCTCATCCTATACTTTTAAGTTTAATGAATTAGAAAATGAAACCTAAAAATAAATCCTCAAGCAGTTTCAACTGCTTAACTATATTTCATCTTGAAAATAAATTGCACTTTTGGAATGCTCAAATGTATGTGTCATAATACAAATTGGAATTGTTCCTATTACAATCTTAGTTGGCTAGAATCCATAAAGTGGTACTTCACAAACTCTGACAGTAGGATGCAGTAATAGCAGTCTCATTCATACGGTTAACCAAAACATTTGTATAGCATGTTCTGAGAGGAAAAACTAGAGGTTAAAATATGGGGTGCTAAAGCAAAAGACTCTGAATGGTTAATATTCCTTACTGTATCCTGCCCTAGCCCTTACCTCAGAGAGGACTCTAAGCAGGCACAAACCTGCCTGCATATTTACAGTGAATACTGCCTGGGTCTGGCTATGGAACATTTTATTTGCCCTTTATTGTCAATGTTATTTCAAGTCAATTTAGAAGTCTATACATTATTCTAACAATGTTATTTCTGTTTCTAAAAGTGATACATCTTACCGTCCAAAGCCATCTTAGAGTTTGTGGAACAATACAAAAGTATGTTCACTATTAACAAATATTCATCCTCATAGTAGCTTTGACATTTGGAAATTATAAAATGCCATTCTGATCTAAGTCTGAAGAAAGAGTGGGTGAGCAAACTGGATAATAATAATGTTTGTATTGAACCTGAAATGCTTTTATTCATCTCTTCTTGAATCCCTAGAAAATGTCCCACAGACCCTGGTCCAAATATTCTCTAATTTCTTTACATTTCAAACCCACCCCAGATCCTTGGAGTGAAGGATGCATATATCCTTCAGTCAATGACCTTGCTTTCCTACTTCATTAAGAAGATGGATGTCCTCCAGTGTGAGCTTGTTTGCCTTTACTACTATCCGTGTTAAGATTTATCTCAATCTATACTCCCATCCCCACTTCCAAAGTTAGCTTCTCCTATGTGCTTCTAAATCATGGCACCTGCACAAGCACACTATACACAAGTAATTTTTCCTCTATAAATGGTTCATTAGTATGTTGAAGGAGAGGCATACAATGTTTCTGCTTTTAATTTAAAATTACCTTAACCTACAAACACAGCAAATAGGAATCACAGAAGCCTGAAATACGTGAGCTGGAAGAGGTCTTCTTACAATTCCACTAATTTTATTCTTTCCTTTTAATGATGAAGAAACTAAGATCTAAAGAGAGTAAGTGGCTTACCCAAAGTCACAGCTAATTAGTGGAAAAGCTGAGATCAGATCTTACAACTATTGCCTCTCATTCTAGCACTTGTTAAAAATGACTTCATACTGCCTCTTAAAATGACCCAGAACAAGAGGATGCATGTAGCTAACCACTGGGAGACCATACATGTTTTCATTCTAAATGTTAGTGATGAAACTAAAGCATCAAACACTGAAACTTCTCTATTGCTTCAGGACTCCTTTTTCCATAATATATATGCTCAAAAAAAAACTTTACCAGACAGATAATCACAATTGGCTCTAGTCTTATAGTGTCTAATCACAGTACCAGCCAAAAATTAAGGAGATTCTAAGATGTTTCAAAGGGAATTTTAAATGTGCTACTTAAAACAAGAACATGAGAAATATAAAGGTCTATTAATCAAAAAGCATGCATTTTCTTTCACCAATAAAAATGACAGCTTCACACAAACATTTTACGCTCAAGCTCTATTCTAGTAACTGAAAGAGCAAAGACATTTCTTCAGATGCCCTGAAGTAACTTTTTCAGTAATACACAATAATTTCTAGAGCGATAGCAAAAGTGATTATCTAATCTCCAAGGTAAGTCATAACTTTGAAGAGATAGCAGTATATAAGCACAATCCTTCTGCCTGCACCCAAAAGCAGAGAAATACTATACTAATGCTTAATAGGCTCTAGAACAAAAAAAGAGAAACTTGTGGTATGAGTTAATAAAATTATAGCTATGCTTTCATGAAACAAGGAAAAGACAAGCTTAGATCTAATGAAATCCAGATATTCATAAAGCTGGCATTTACTCAAAGGCATTATGACATTAACACAGAAAGAATAGGGATCACCAAATTCTACCAGGCCTACATGATGTAGCAGCATCACTTACAAAATGATAATTATTTTGTAAGTGATGTAATCAGCAATGTAATTTTATTCCATTGATCACTTTAGTGTAATGTGGCTAGTGTTTTTTTTCCATAATGGATTAAATGTGATGAGGAGGGAACAATAGCAACCTTATCTTATAAGGAAACAAATCAATATTCCATGGCTATGTTTGAATCCAAAAATATAAACTACCACAAAACTGAAACATTTAGAAGGCCTCACCTTAATAAAGAAGGTAGAATATTGCTGTGATTAGATTATTAACCTAACCATTAGGGCTAATATTTTATAAACTTACCTTCTTTGAAAACTCTGCGGCTTTTTGTTCACTTTCTTCAACTTTTGCCTTGTTCACACAAGAATCTATTAAGATCAACCAAAAGTGATTCATGAGATCACTAGACAAAAGATGTCTTCTAGTCTATAACTCTGCAATGCAGACTATCATTTCTTTGTCAATTGTTACTAAATGGAAATTGACCTACACTGCACATAAAACATAAATACCATATATATTCTTTCTTTACCACACTAACTGAAATCAATGATAGTACTGTAGAGGCACAAAACCAAGCATCCATAAATATACTCACTAAATTATTGTTTTTATAGGTATTCAATTATTTTTCAACTATAAAACACTTCAAAAAACCATAGTTTATTATGGGTGGAGAGGTGTCAAAGACTCCATATTTAACATTAATAATAAGATATGAATACTCTTAGTAAGATTCAAAATTGTCCTATAAAAAAGCTAGAGATAGAATAGCATTCAATAATTCAAGTTTCTTCGTGAAAAGATTTTTACTTCTGATCTGGAGCAAAATGTATCATGTACATGAGGAAACAAACTTCAAACTTCTCAGGTCCCATCAAACACTTCAGAATATAAATAACTGAAGAACAATTTTTGGGAAATATTGTATCTCTCACTATTTTATATATATAGAAACTCTATCCTGTATCTAGCCATTCCACACTTATTTATCAAAAAGACATAAAAACATATACTGGTACCCAGAATTGTATATGAATATTCACAGCAGTTTTATTTATCATAACCTCAAATTGGAAAGAATCTAAATAGCCATCAACAAGTATATATATAAACAAACTGTGGAATATCCATATACTGGAATACTACTCAGCAATATAAAGGAATGAACTATTGATACATGCAATATAACAACATGAATGAATCTCAAAATAATTATGCTGAAGGTAAGAAGACAGGCAAAAAAATATATGCTGTATGTTTCTATTTTTAAATGCAACGAATGAGAGAGACTATAAAATGTAACTAGTAACAGAGAGATTGGTAATATCCTAGGATGGAAAAATGTGGTAGATATGTAAAGGAAGAACTAAAAGGACAATGTAGAAATGTTAGGGAGTAACAATTATGATTAGTATCTTGACTTTGATGACAGTTTTAAGTGTATATATTAATAGCAAAATTTATCAACTTGTATACCGTAAATATAGGTAGTTTTTCTTACGTTAAATGTACCCCAATAAAGTTGATTTTTTGTTCTTTTTTTTTTTTTTTTTTTTTTTTAATGTGTAGCTGGAGCAAAGCAACTGAGGATGAAAGCAGGAAATGATGAAGTCAAAGAAGAGTCATATCTAAGTTGTGCTAGCCACGGTGGTAATGATGTTGATTTAAATTTCAATGGAAAGGTATCAGAGAGTTTTAGGCAGAGATCTGATACTTTCTGATTTATGAAAGATACCATACTTAAAGTAACTGTGAAATTAAAAGAGACTCTAATCTCTTCAGGTCCAAGTCATCTTAAAATAGAGATCCACAGATCTCCTAGAAGTTCTTGTTGCACCTGATAATGTTTGTGTATGTGAACATATGTGTGTTCCAATCAAAGTTCCAAAGCATTTGTCAACTTCTCACAAAGAATTTTGACCATAAAATATTAAGACTCACTCACATATTTGATTTAATCAATTTTAAAGTTGAGGAAACTAAAACCTAGAGAAGTTAAATGATTTGTTCACAATGGCAGAGATTACATGTGGATAAGATCATAATGGGTTTATGATGCTCACTATCCTCTCTCACCTGATCCTTCATCTCTCCTCACCCAACACTTTTAATTAATGGTATAGAATTGTAAGAACAAATGTCTGTTGAACACTGAATACTACTTGACTAAATTATTATTTTTTATATGTATTCAATTATTTTTCTACTATAAAATACTTCAAAAATTATACTTTATTATGGATAGAGAATTGACAAAGACTCCGTGCTTAAGGTTAATAAGATCAAAATCAACAGTAGAGTATGTGTGATAACTATGGTCCATATGGATTATAAGTCAATACACATATTTGAAAATAGACACAGGGAGAGGAGCACTACACACTTGGGTCTGTTGGGGGGAAACAGGGGAGGGTCAGTGGGGGGTGGGGAGATGGGAAGAGATAGCATGGGGAGAAATGCCAGATATAGGTGATGGGGAGGAAGGTGGCAAATCACACTCCCACATGTGTACCTATGCAACAATCTTGCATGTTCTTCACATGTACCCCAAAACCTAAAATGCAATAAAATAAACTAAAAAAAAAAAAAGAAAATATA